TAAGAGTAGAAATTAGTTGAAATGAATAGATTAGTTGAGATGTTACAAATTGGTTGAGATCTTAGGGTTTGCAGAAGTTGAAGAAAGGGTAGATGAAAGAGAAGAAGGAAAAAAAAATGTTTTTTTGGTGGGATCAGTTGGGATGGCCACATCATTTATTTTTGCCAACTTGGCAATTTTTTGTGTGACATGTAATGTTTCTTTTGTATTTGGCCGTTATTTAACGTGAAAAATTAACAGAATGACCAAATCGAGGTAAAAATGATAAACAGTAAGGATCAAATCAAAAATTTTTTAAGTTTAGGGATGAAATTAGAAGTCTATATAATAGTTTAGGGACCAAAATGAAATTTTAACCATAAATAAATTTCCATACGACAAATTTTTTTAAAACTGAAGTATAACGCCACAAAGCGAAAAGTAGATACTTCTGGTTGAAATTTTTTTTAGGACTCAAGAATTTTATATAATTTTTTTAATTTTACAGTGTGTGATTTATTTTTAATGGAACTGAAAAATGATTAATTTTAAATGTCTGTAAAGTAATCATCACACGTAAGGAATCTTCCGTACAATTCTTTTTTTTTTTAATTTTAAATTTCATGACAAATAAGTAATAATTTTTTTATTGTTAATTTTTGTTTAACATGGAGAAATTAAGGGAATAAATTAACTATTAAAAGACACATTAATTATACCCTTATAGCACATGTTAGAATAACCCTTATTCAAATTGGAAAACTGATATGCATAATCGTGTCTAATAAAAGATAGTTCCCAAGTCCGACGGGCTGGGTCTATTGTTAATTTAGAAGGTTAAATGTTAAATTTAGTCTTTCAACTTTCAGAAATGCACATTTTTGATCCCTCAACAATTTTTTACATTTTTTTTATCCCTCGACTCTAAAAATTGCACAATTTTGCTCATTTCGTCAGTTAAGTATGATATGGCAGTTAAATAATTTTATGTGGCATTATTTTTTAATTTTTTTGATGATATGGCAATAATATAGATTTTAATAATATTATATAAATAAATAAAAATAACACGTAGATTAATATTTATAGTTTAAATAAAAAAATAAAATTACCTAACTACCCTCACCCACCCAATCCCTTTTTTTCCCCTTCTTTCTTTCTCTTTCTTTCTTTCCTACCTTGGGTCTCCACCAGGCTGGAGTCCGATGGATGCGACGAACCCAGCCTGTTGGGTCTCATCGGAATCTAGCCTGCTGGGTCTCATCGGAACCCAACAAGGCTGGGTTCCGACGAACCCTGCTGGGTCTCGTCGAACCCAACCTTGCTGGGTTTACTCGAACCCAGTTGCTGGGTTCGACGAGACCCA